AGAGAGAGAGAGAGAGAGAGAGAGAGAGAGAGAGAGAGAAAGGGAGAGAGAAAGAGAGAACTCAAAAGACAAAGTCTCTTGTTATGTGAAAGCAAATTGTGACATGATGCAAAAATTGCAACAGAACAAATGAAAACCCAAACGTGGGCAACAGCTATGGGTAGAATTAGAACAGGCAACTGAAACAGCACGATGCAACTGATAATGAGCAACGACAAAACAACAACAATGATAATCATAGAAATGAGATGATGCAAACATCTGAGCAAAAATATGGTGCCAACAAAAATAAAAATGAGTGGACGATCATATTATCACGATACATTGTTAAACTGAGCTAGAGTACTCCGTGTCAACAAACATCATGTGATAAAACATTTTAATAATAAAAAAAAAAATATAATAAAAATCTAATCGCTATGAAAATGTCAAATAGTGCAGATTACTAGGCAAAGCTTTACTGTTGCAAAAGTGCAATTATGTTTTTGAAAAAAGAAAAAAAGAATAGACACATTTTATTCTGTTTTTGATGTTAAAAAAAAAAAGAGAGAGAGAGAGAACACCCAACTAATTTCAGTATGAAAGAGCTTATATGACCATTGTGGTATTTGCATATTGACCATTACGTAGTACTCGAAGCTCTAATTTTACTTAGAAACACTGATAGAGACTAACTATCTCATCTTAGTACATAGATGCATGGATGCATGGAGCATACCATACCCACAGACACTGTGTACTGCACGACTTTCTCTCAAATCCTCAAACCGATTGCTCTACAAATTACTGTTTGTTAACTGTGGCAATTGTTAAGACAATAATGTGCTTTTTAAAAATAATTCATACAGAAACAAAAAGGTTTTATAAAAAGGAAAAACTTCACTATTAAATAAAAAGAACTAGGCATTATGATTAGATTTGGAACTTCAAATTGAATTAAGTAAAAAAAAGATAAAAATCAAATGCCGACTCATTTCATCTTAGGTTTTTTCATGGAGGACAAAAAATTTTGATTTTTATCCTTCTGACATAATTACAAAAATAGCTACTTATGAGTAACTTACTGCTCAAACATACAAAGTACACAGGTCCAGGGTATAGACATGGCTGACTCCATGCATCATGTGCTTCACACATCCCTTACCAAGTGCGTGGCATTACGGTATTTGCAGAAAAACTCCAAAGAGGTTCTCTAGTTTCCCAAACCGAAATATATTATATTGTTATAATATTTATACCCTTCCATCACCTACCCTTCCTTTAACATGTACACACGACAAAATCTGCGTACACCCCCCCCCCCCCCCAAAAAAAAAGGGGGGGGGGGAGAGACCAAAAGGGGGAGGGGGGGGCAGGTTCACCCTTTTCTAAACAACTTCAAACAGTTCTAAACTTCTCTGCTGCACCCCACCCTGCTCCAAATCTTACCTTTGGCAGACGGAGAAGGCTTGGAGGAGACGAGAGTGACGGCCCCTCCCTCGCTGTTGGTGGACGTGTCGTCGGTGGTCAGGTCGGGGATCTCTGACTGACCTCCCTTCAAGGTCGGCTGGTTGGGGTCATAGGACGTCTGGGACACGGAAGAGGAGGTGTCCGACGTATCGTCCACCCTGGACAAACGGAGCAAAGAAGGTGGTCATTATCTTGAGAAATTATAACAATGTTAAAAGATGAATTTTGGAGAACGATACATCTTGTGCTGAAGATTAGAGTTGTTACTAGAGAGTAACACACTAAGAAAAGAAGGAGCAATCTACATTAGAGCACCAACCGACCACCAACTTTTAAAAAAAGTAAGAGTTTTTAGTTTTAGTAAGAGTTTTACGGCAGTTGCAACACAAAAAGATCATATAAGTGCCTCAGAATAGATGTGTTGCAAGAGAGTAACGTACACAAAAAAGAAGGAAAGATAAGGATGATAGATGTTAGATAAGAAAGAAGGAGCAAACAACACCAGAACACCCACCAGCCACTCACTAACAAGGTTTAAAGTTGAATTTTGGAGAATGATACATCTTATGCTGAAGATTACAGATGTTACTAGAGAGCAACACACTAAGAAAAGAAGGAGCAAAACCACATCAGAGCACCCGCCAGCCACCAACTCTGTGTGGTTTGTTTGAATAAAGAATTGTTATTGATCCGGTTGAATGAAGAGAAATACTTCAACACAATAACTATAGTCATATTGTGCAAAAAAAAGGTAAGACAGACAGAAACAACAGAGGGAAAGAAAAGAAGTAAGACCTACTAGTGATGCCCTCCAACCATGGTAAGATAAGATAAAATAAGTTAGTACTTTATTATCCCAGAGGGAAATTTTCCTTGGCTGTATAGGACCGTAAAAACACATGCGTAACATCGTTTGTACGTATATGTGGTTTGAACAAGTGGAATGAAGACATCAGATGTTGAAAACTTAAAAGATTTAAAGATGAATTTTTTTAGAAGGGTCCAGCTTCAATACTATACAACCGGGCTCGTAAAAGGTTGGGTTGGTTTTGGGTTTTTTTTAGACGAAAACTGTGTCTGGATGTGGTAGCACAAAAAGACTGTCGGGTTCAAGTTAGATTCTTTGAGGTTGAGAAAATGTCTCGCCCTTCGCTGTGGAAAAGTTGATTCTGGGTCACCTACTCCATTCAAAGAAAATGAGCAGCAGACATGTATACACAGTTATTTTTAACAATGTTGCCCACATGTTGAAGACGTTTGGCATAAAGGTGTGCTGTGTGGGAATTTTTGCTTTTTTTTATTTTACCAAACCCATCTGCGCATTATCGAACAAGCGCACAATCAGATGAGAGAGGACAAAATTGCAACACTGTATTGGTGTGGTGACTTTTTTTTAACACTATAAGGTTAGGTAGGACCTCAAAATTTAATGCCTTTCTCTTTCTGAACTGAGTCAAACCCACATGCAGTTGATTCCCCACCACTTCCCCTTAAAAAAGCAGTTGATTCCCCATCACTTCCGCTTAAAAAAAAAATTAAATTAAAAATATTTAACCCTCTCGATTTTTGTCTGCTAGTATTGGCCATAGCAGGAACCACAAATTGTCTTCATCCGTATTTCTTGTGTTGCCTAAGAAACATTTCTCTTCTACAGATTAATTGGTCATTGTAATGTACTGTGGCAGAGAAACTATTTTCATAAAAATATTCCTACAGCTTTCTGTCTGCATCTAAACGTTTATCTTAAAACAAATGAAGCATAAAAAAACAACAACTGTTATTGTGGGCGGAGTGTCTGAATAAGGTTACCAGCCACTGCAAAGCAAAACTTTCTTGGCCACGAGACCAGGACAGGGTACACATGCACTACATGCACAATGCGTGCCAACACAGAGCGGAGTCGTTAGTGGGGCAACTTGTGCAGGCTGGCAGCACACACACACACACACACACACACACACACACACACACACACACACACACACATACACACACGCACATACACACTCACTCTCACTGTTCTCTTGTTACAAGCACAGCTATAGAAAATGTCAGACAATACCAAACACTTCTTGAGACCGCACATATACACAATATAAGGAAAATTTCCACCCATTACGTAGACAGCTGTGAGTATGCAGATGAGGAAAATTTCGCTCGCCCATATCTGTCCATCCCCAAGTGACATCATATTTGGCAGATGTGCAGCGAGAGGAAATTTTCCCAATGTGCATGGGGTCTCAGGGTGGTCTTATGTAGATGCCTCAGGGAGGGCAAAAGAAAATCCTTTCAAAAATACATATCATGGTAAGGATTGATTCCTTTCCATATTTCACTGTTTCTGGTTGTCAATCAATGTGACATGTTGGCAGAACAGTTTGCGAAGTAATGTTTATTTTTAAAATTCTTTCTATTGTTCATCTAATGGGGATTGGGCTCACTAAGGCTGTAGAAGTTTGAGCCCAAGCCATGCTAAAGATAACCATTATTTTTAGTTTGAGCTTTTCATTCTGTTCAACAAGACTCATACAGAGAGACAGAGCCCAAAACAAATGAGGTTGCTTTATCAATAACATGATCAAACAAGACTAGGTGGTAGAGGAAAAAATAGCATCATGGATCAGACAGTAGCACAAAGAGCCTGAAAAGGAGAAGATAAATTACAGCACCGGTCAGAATGATACTGAATTAAGAAATGCGGCGGATTTTAAAACTGGTTGCAGCAGAACAATCCACAAAAACTGAGGCTTGTTTGCTAGCTATTTCCACCTCTTTTAATGTCCCTAACATGCATTCCTCCAATTGTCCTTCCAAGCAAAAACAAAATGAAAATATCAACAACAACAAAAAAATAATAAAACAAAAAACCCAAAACAAAACAAAAACCAATTTATAAAAACCCAACAAAGACAAACAAGCACACGATTGAGCAATCATAATCAAACCTGCACCAACGACCACATGTCCAGAGCACCCACTCTCCCCTACCCTCTGCGTTATTTCCTATATTTATACTGACACAGTCTAAGAGGACCACCTGTCTAAGATGATCACATTTCTCCTCGACAATGGGTGGTCACGTTGGATAGGTTTGTCAGTAAATAAGTACTGGGGTGAGTGAAACACTGAAAACTTAAGAATCACCGGCATGGGACAGGTGAAAAAACAACCAATTAACAACACAGCAAGCTATTACATACAACACAACACCTGCACAAAATAGCAAACATCTCAAAACTGAAAAAGACACTGATAGCAATAAAATGTTACTATAGCAAATACAAAAAAATCAAAGGAAAATGGCAGGAATTTCTTGGAAATGTAACAATGTTACTATAGCAAACACAAAAAAATTAAAGGAAAATGGCAGGAATTTCTCGGAAATGTTACTATAGCAAACACAAAAAAATCAAAGAAAAAAGGCTGGAATTTCTGGGAAGCAGCTGCCAAGAAAACTGAACAGAGGTAGATTGATCGGTAAAGGTTTACATAAGGTTCCCATTCTGAGCTCACCTACTACACACACCCAAGGTCTACACTCTCTATGTGGCCAACATGGGGTGGGGTACCCATGACAGAGCTAGATAAAACTCTTAGGTTACGAATGCATCTAAAAAACAAAACAACCCATCATTTACATACAACGAGGCACACGATGAAAGAAAAAAATGTTTTCAACAAAAAGAAAAAAATCCCCCCTCATCCGGCCCCTCCCCAAAATAAATATAAACCCCACTAAATGAAAGGCACATCAGAACACAACGTACCGGTATGTAAATGATGAGAACAAAATGCATTCCTGGTTAATGTCACAAGACAATGACTTGAAACAACTCCATACATCACTAGCGACAACCATATTGCCCCGTGTACTGTCTAAACAAAACAAACAACATTCACAGACTGTTGCCCAAACTTCTGCCCTCGTGTTCTAAACTGTACAAGACTCAAGTCTAATGAAAATAAGCCACTGCCTTGACATTCATTTAACCACTTTTCAAGTGAAAGTTTTCTACAGCAAAACAACCGATTTATTGTACACGCGGGGAATTATTGATTGAGACATTGGAAGTTTTAATGCCCGATTGAATTTGGAACTTGCAGAGGCATCAGACACAAAGGTGTGCATTCTATTCCATTTTGAACATGGAAAATGATAGGCCAAATCATTTTAAAACTCCAGCAAAGCCTATCGCCATGGTAGCTGTGTTTAGTATATTGTTGTATTTCTTCTTCTTTGATCCCGTAGGTTCTGTAAAGGGTGATTGGCGAAGCATCTAAAAATCTTCCGCAGTGCTACATCAGCGTAGCAATTGTTTGAAATATGAAAAAAAAAGATGTTTCTTCTCTCCATGCACTGTTCCCTAAAGTGTTTTATACATTCATAAACAAGTCACACTTTTCAGAGCAATATTAACTCACTGCGGTGAAATTGTTATGCATGTGCCTCTGTTCAGTCAAAAGAAATCCTGTACAAGACTGAATACTACGATTTTGCCAGGGACTTTTGGCAGAAAATGTGGTGCTATCATACATACATTTGACAGCTTATTGAGTATGGTACTTTAGGAAACAACATCTAGCTTCATTTTCCCCACCTGTTTCTTAAACAAAAAGTAAATGCCCCACCCCCCTCCCCAAAAAAGGAAAGGATTAATAAATGAAAAGGATTAAAAAACACAACAAGAATGCAGTGAAAAATGAAAACGTGTGTGAGAAAAAGAAAGAAAACAACACCAGCTGCTGTTGGCACACACACAGCTACACAACCAGGCAGATACAAAAAGAACTGGGGGGCCAAAACGGTTACCTAGCCGGCGCCGGGCTGGACAGCTTTTGGGGTTTGGGGGCCACTGGAGGTCGCGCAGAGGGAGTGGGGCGGTGGGCGGGGCTACTGGGGGAAGGAGGCGTGGCCAACGGGGGGAGGGGCGGAGGAGGAGGAAGAGCCCGTTGGCTGTCCGGGGACAGCTGCTGCTGTTGCGCTTGCTTTCTCTTTTTGAGCTCGCTCTTCCTGACCGTGCTGTCGCTGGTAGTGCCAGATAGAGATACACATGAGCAGGTCAGAGGTTACAAGTATAAGTCGGGAGTGACGTGTAAGGCTGAAGGAAAGAGCACACTGAGGGTGCGCTGGTGCTAGCGAGGAACAAAAAAAGAGAGAGCGAAACAAGTGAAGTTTCGTGCGAGCAATGTGAAAGTGACAAGAGATTACAAAGTCGAATGGGAAGGAGAAAAATGACTGAAAAATCAAAAGTAAATAAATACATATATGGTTACAGGTCTGATTTATACAGTGATATAATGTGCAAAACATTCGATACATTAAAGTTTATAAATACAATACCAACTCTAGTACACACACCCCAAAAACACCCTTTTTTGTATGGTTTTAAAAAAACAGGATATAAAAGCTTTCTTTAAAAAAATTAAACTACTGTATTTACAAGTGTTCCCAAAAAGACATTGTTACGTCAAGATGAACTAAATGTCCCTTTATCATAAAATCAAAACAGGAAGCAGGCAGAATAAAAAAAAAAATACACAGCAATAATCCAAAATGAGGAGAACAAATTATCGTTAACATGTCCTTTACAAATTGTACCACAAACTTGCAAACATATTTAAGTTTAATTAACTGCATTTAAGTTTAATTAACTTCATTCTCAAAAGAATGAGGTACTCTAAATAAAACGACCCGCTTATTTTAATCAAACGCTGTCTTGTCTTATTTAAAGAAGGATGAGGAATTCTTAAGAAAAAAACCCCACATGTCCATCAGCACATTCAGAGAGAAAAGCTGAAGAAATACATGGCTTGCTGTGGAACATATAAAGCAAAAGGAGAAAAACTTTGACCATGGATCATAAATCAAAGACTGAAGAAGACAAAGTGTGGACTTACAAATCACCAAACAAAAGTAAATTAATAAATGAGAGACTAGTAGGCTGAAAAGACTTATTATGAACAATCACAGATAGGCCAACGGTACAAAACTAAACAACCGTGTTACTGAACTGAACACAAGTCAAGACATTACGAGAATCTACCTCAAAACAGAGTTCTGTGCGTCTACATTGACAGACATTTGTCAAACGCCAGCGGAATTCAAGAAGCAGGGACGGACTTTTGTCTTTCTCTCCTTTCAAATACAAAAACAAACAAACATACATATACACACACACATGCACACACACATACATTCACTCACAAACACACAAACAAAACACAAATGCACACTCACACAAGAAGGCAAATGCACAAAAACATACACACGCTCACACGACGTGTACACACACATAGGCACATGTCCGCCTAATAACACACACCGCCACATACCACAGGTCGAAGGGGGAATGAAATAAAAGTAATAAATACACATACAACAAAAGCTGTGTCTTATCTACTCCATGACATAAAAATATTAATCAATTAAAGGAAACACATATAAATAAACAAATAAAAAACAAACCATTTCATGGGACACTACATAATGGCATAAAGACAAGCCTATTGTCTAGACAAACAGCGTATCCGTGGGGGAAGAGCCAGGAAGAAGACAGAAAAAAACCCCAAAAACCGAAAGCTGTAAAACAAAAGTCATGTCTTTGGGACAGCGACAAAGCACTTTCCATTTTCTTTATTAAGTCCTGTTATTTATTCATACTAAGATTTGCTTAAATCACAATATAACACAATATCGTCTTCAGGTTGGAAGGAAATCTCCAGTCAAAACACCAAAATAACTTTTAAAAAAGACGAATGTGAAGACCACTGAAAAAAGATGAAGCACAGAACTTAGAACAGCTTGACTGGAACATTCAGAGATCTACAAACTACCTCGAGAAATGAGAGAGAAAATGGATACAGTAAAGGACAAAATTACTCACATGTTTACAAAGGCAGGCACTCTATTGGACAACACGGAGAGTGAAAGGAAATGAACAAGAAGGCTATATATTGTCTGCTTTCTGCTTAGGTTCTTTCTTTTACTTTTAGTCTTAATAAGAGTTTTACAGCATTTGCAACAGAAATAGGTCATATGAGTGCCAAAGATTAAAGGTGTTGCAAGAGAGGAACAAAACAAAAAACCCCCAAAAATTGAGAAAAGATAAAGATGACAGATTGCTGATAGCAAAAAGGAGCAAACCACACCAGTCAACCACCCACCCTTTTTCATTTTAGTCTGAGCGGAAAACACACCAGTCCCATCCATGATAGGGTCTCTTAATACTTAGTGAATACATAACACTGGGAAGATCTTTTTCATCATATGAAAGTGAAATATGACACGAAAAGACAAAACAACAAAATGAATGGAGGGTCATCAAGAAAAAAAAGACTTCTCTTCTATTCAAAACCACTCCATATAACAAAAATAATTCTGAAAGCTAACGCACAATTAGAACGACATCAACTAGAATGCCTTTCGACATCACTAAATTATTTCCTTTGACCTGTAAAAGTCCCAAAAAGATGAAAGAACAAATGAATATATCAATACGAATTTTCCATTTTCGATAGACAGCACATACAACGGAAACTAAGGAAATAAAATTATAACAACCAGTATATATATATATGAAAACACAGCGGAAAAAACTGAAAGGTCACGGAAAAAGTATACACATCTTGGTCTACACTAGGCACTCAGATAGTAATACTCACGTATACGCTCTACATAAATGGTGGTGATATAAAGAAAAGAAACAATTCATTGTCATAACTTTGACAATCTACTTCACGTTAAAGAACAAATTATAACATATATGCTGTAGTCACATATAGCGTCAACAGATTTATGTACACAGTTCGGGAAACTCTCCCATAAGTAAATCAGCTCAGTGCTACACTCATTTTCCCGAACGTCATGGCATTTTCCCTCAGCTCCTTCAGCGGTCTTTATAGAGATATTTGACTCTTTAAAATTTTGCCTCTGTCTATAAATGTGAACAGAAAGTGAGTCCAACTAATTATTTAGGACAATGTGCACAAAGAACACTGTGCTATCAAAGCCACAGTCATCACACAGTGGCAAGGCAAATGTCAAAGAGCACATCCTCATAGTAAAGCAGCGGAAATGATAGCATAATACCTCCATAAAGATCAAACCACAGGAGGACACGAAAAAGATACTAGCCACAAGGCATCAGCAAGAATTGGAATAAACAAATATCTGAAATTCAAATGAAAATGTAAATAACAATTGTTCTTACGTTAACACTGCTTTTGGAAAAAAAAAGCCATTTACACAAAGATGTGACAAAAACATACAGACAACCCTAACACCATTCTCCAACTTACACTCACACACGAATCCTCTCCATTGTGTGCTAACTCATAACTGACATTTTTACCTTTTCAGCATACAACAGGTCTGCGAAAAAACAGCCATGTAATAAATCTTGCTTGAAAAGACACTCTCTGACCTTGGGAGGGGAGAAAAAAAACATTAACAATTTGAAAATATAAACAAAAAACGGTGACTATGTACAGTACTGACCTGTCATGGCGGTTCCACATGTCCAGTCCGGATTCTGTCTGGTCCGGGTGACCGCTGTGAACACTGCCGTTTTCTGTAACCTCGCTCTGGACACTGGCTGAGTCTTGGTCCTCCGAGGTGGAATCCTGGGTCTGACATAGAAGATGGAAGAGAATTATATGAGAGCCTAGGAGAGATGAGTAGAATGTAAGTGTACAAGTTCTTATATTTTTATAGTAGAGAGTTTTACGGTGCTCGCAACTGCATAAGGTCATGTGAGCGCCAAGAGGTGGGTGTCAACAGAGAAGTCTTTACAGGGAATCAAACTTAGACTGCTCACCTCTCTAGCTTCAACAGCACAAGGTCTGCTTCGACTATCAAGGCACCCCGGAAAAAGCAGGTCACAAGAGAGTGACAAACATACCAAAGAAGTAGAGGAAAATGATAATAGTAAGGATCAGGAAAGAAAAAGCAGCAGTTCCCTGTTGTAGATCAGGCACAGTTATGAGCGTGACATGAGTCAGCCCATTTACAATTCTACTATGCTTGAACGAGAAATGTCCCCCCTTTGGGAATGGCCTAAAGACACTACAGTCAGTGGCACTGCCCCGGGGGGTAGTGTACAAGTTCATAACTATGAAAAAGTTCAAAAACCCATGTACATAATAGCAGAGTCAAGAGGAACGAAAACGAAGAGCTCTATTTAAAAAATATTCGGACGCATGTAGCCTACATTGCAGCCAAAGAGAGATGAATGTATGAGCACAAATTCAAAAAGATTTGAACAAATGTACAGTACAACCAAGGTGAGGCAAATGAATACGTAAATGTACGGACATTAGGCTGATAGCTCTCTTGATAAAGTACAAGAGGGTAGCAGCAATCATACAGCAGACTGGGAAAGAGAGAGTGAAAGGCAGCAACAAAGAGAGAGAGAGAGAGAGTGAAAGACAGCAACACAGAGATATAGAGAGAGACAGCAAAAGAAAGACACCCACACGGATAGACACACAAACACAGACAAGCAAGACAGTGAGAATAAGAGAGACAAGAAACGAAAAAGAAGAAGCCAGCATTGTTCCGTACCACTGCCTTCTTCGAAGGTGGCCGTCTGTTAGCGTTGCTGCCAGCACTCGCCAGGTTGGCCTTGTCTCTGCTCACCGTCGAGTCCAACAAGGGCGAGGCGTTGACAGAGTCGAAATCTGACCTGAGGGAGACAACAGAGTAAATCTAAGATATAACAATGTCGGATAAATTAAATGATTTTCTAAACTCAATTAAAGTATGCAGAGTTCCAGAAAGTTCAGATTTAGCACGGCCTTGTCAGTTTAATTAAGTTTTAGAAACAGTTTTACTGTGCTTCCAATATATATAGAGATCATATGAGTGCACAAAACTTGAGATGTTTACTAGAGGGTACCATACCAAGAAAAGGATAGATGGATGAAATACGTTTGATAGGGAGAAAATAGACACCAGACCAGAGCACCCTGCAACCATCCACTTACTAGACAGTAAGAAACAAAGAGTGGGGGACACCAGAAGACAAGCCATGTGCTAGCCATGGCTCCCTGTCTATCGTCCGAGGCACTTACTTGACGACCTCCGTCTCTTCCACTGTCCTAGGGAAGAGAGGGGAAGATGTGGCCGAGCTGTCCGGCTCCGCGGCATGGCTCGGGGACGTTGAGGTCTCTCGTTCACTCATCTCCTCCACATCTGAAATAGAGATATTCAGAGACACAGTAAGTCAGGAAAACTAGCCCTGGAGTGAAACACTGTAAGCGCTCAGAGCCTGTGTACTTTAATTGGGGTTGAGAGCTATATAAATGTCATATATTATTATCATCATTATTATTATTATTATTATTATTTATGCCAAACTGAAGTTTAAGAAGCCTGAAAATGCCGCAAAAACATCATTACTTTTACTTGAGCAATGACTTGAATGACGTAGAATATTTATAACTAATAACCCTTCCACTCCACACGTGGCATGTCAGGAGAAGAGATCTTTTCATCTCCTAATCAAAGAAAAACACTGCAGTTTGAGATTCTAAAAAAAAAAAGACCTTGGCAGATGCTATCCCATCATTCTGTATACCACACGTCATGAACTACAGATACTGCTGACGGGCATTTTCAAAAACAATTTTGTAGTGCAGCCTAGGGGCTGGCTTTACTTACTGTGCATCTTACTACATGGGGCATTACGGAAACTTCAGTGTGCATTTCTAACTCTCAGTGCAAAATAAAGAAAGCAGCTGGTGATTTTTTCCAGAACTACGTTTCTGTTTCAGCTGTCTTCATCCATTCAGAGATCTGTTTCCACTAAATATCAATTATGGAAGCATTAAAACTAGACACAAATAAACAAACGGCATTACAGACATTGGCATGCACGGTGAGGCCTACCAGGAGAAGTCGGAGCATCGGAGACCTCGGAGGACATGGAAATCTCCAGCACGTCCTCCGTGGACTGGTTCAGGGGAGACAGCGGCTCCTCATCTGTGGGGGACATATTGATACATGATATATTGATGTACTCAAAAGGGGTTGACATCAACAGATTGATTTAAAAACATACTGAAAAGGTTCTTCTGGGGGGAGGAAAGGGGAAGGGTGGACATTGACACATGGCTTTATAAATATACTGACATGGTTCATGGGGGTGGACATTGAAAACATTGATTTATAAATATACTGACATGGTTCTTTTGAGGGAGTAAGGAGGGAGGGTGGGGTTGAACATGGGGGTAGGCGGAGTGAACGTTGACACATTGATATATAAATATACTGACATGGTTCTCTGTGGAGGGGGGGGGGGGGGGGTGTGAGTGGACACAATGATTTACAGAAGTGGTGTTAGTTTCTGCAAAGTCAGCACAATACAAGCCAAATTTCAAATCAAACAGATATACAGCACCACTAAAGAGAAGTAAAAGCAAAACACCACGTCAGACAGCACATCACCCTCCTTCTCTGCAATTAAAACAGCAATTAAAACAAAAATAATCTTAGACAAGTTGCTTGCTATATATTACTGTTACTATTACTTTTCTCTCTTTACCATAAAAGTTATTGCAGAGCTAGCAAGTTCTCTAACTTCTCTTCCTTCTTGGATATTACAGGTCATCATCCATTTATGAAGGACAAACTATTATCATATTAATAGTAATAATAACAATAGCAATGATAATAATAAAAATAGTAATAATAATAATAATAATAATAACAAAAATAATAATAGTAATAATAAAAGCAATAACAATAATATTAAATATAATAATAATAATAATAAAAAATAATAATAATAATACTTATAATAGTAATAGTAATGGGAATTTATATAGCCCCAATCCATAATCTTCAACCAAACAGATGGTCACTGACCTAGTCCATTGAGAGTTGCCTTGACCAGTGTGGTGGGCGGGGTCGAGGTGACGGTGATCTCTGGCTCAGGGCCAGCTGGCAAGGCCTGGGGTAGCCCCGCCTCCTTCTGGGCTGAGGTCAAGTTCTTCTCCAGGGTAAAGATCTGGACACGGAGACCAAAAAAAATTAGAAACTTGGACAATTGGATGATAGGACTTATATAGATGTAATAAAAAGAGCAATATTGATGGTCTCTGAAAACATACACAATCAAAACAAATCTTTTTCAATTTTAGGCAGAGAGATAAAATCTGATATCTGACTAACCTTTCGATTAGTTTTATTTAGAGTTTTACTGCACTTGCAAGACAATAAGATCATACAAGTGCCAAAGAATACATGTGTTACAAGAGAGTGACAAACACAAAAAAGGTAGGAGGAGAGATAAGAAAGATAGATGTTTGATAGGAAAGAAGGAAAACCACACCAGAGCACCCACCAACAACTCACAATCAAATCTTTAAAAAATTACCAGAGTAACAAAGCAGCAGAAAACCTACCCTGTCCTTGAGGGACTTGACCAAGGAGTTGTACTGCTGGTCCTTCTCTGCCTGCTGCTCAAACAACGACTCCCGCTCTTGGATGAAATCTTTCTCCCTGTAACACGATATATACAAAAGTCATTCTTAAGTTCCGTTTTTCTAGTTAAAAAAAAAGTTTTAGTAAGAGTTATATGGCACTTGCAACACAATAAGGCCATATAAGTGCCGAAGATTAGAGGTGTTACAAGAGAGTAATAAACATTTTAAAAAAGGAGAGATCAGGACGATAGATGTTAGATAGGAAAGAAGTAGCAAACCACATCAAAGCACCCGTCAACCACCCACATTTTAAAACTTTTGATGAAAACAGAAACACATCGACACAATCATGGTCATTTAGCGCAGGTAAAAAGCAACACAGAGGGCAGAAATGACACTGGGAAAGTAAAGAAGTAGGACCTATTAGTGGCGCCCTCCAAACACTCACAAAAAAGTAATTCAGTTGAGTTATAGTGTAGTTTTAGTAAGAGTTTGACGGCACATGCAACACAAATAGTTCACCATTCAAGTGTCGGAGATTAGAGGCCTTATAAGAGAGTAACATACAAAGAGAAAAAGGAGGAAAGATAAGGACGAAATGATGTTTGATAGGAAAGAAGGAGCAAACCACACAAGAGCACTCACCAAACACCAACAAGTAATTCAGTACAATTTGTATATATTTACACTGATGTCAAACATGGGCAGATTCCGTCACATGAAGGACCTAACTTAATCCTTTCCATCTAGATAAATATCAATTTTTAATAGCCTATGCGTACAGGCTGAAGTATATTACATGCTGTAAACTGTTTCTGCAATCTTTAAATCTGAACTTTCAGAAACAATCTCAATTAATTTGTAATTTGTACCAATCATCCACTATGTATAAGTAGGTACCATGAAATCTGCTTCAATCAAAATCTTCAAGACTGCTGGATTTTCTTCGGGTTTAGCTTTATTTTTCGTTTAGAAGCATTGCTCAAACGGCAAAGAAAGCAAAATAGGGTATTCTATTTTCTTTTGTCTTTCTACTATTTTTGGATGAGCCATGTTTGATATAGCAGATTCTATTGCACACAATAAACTCAGTGACCGACCTCTGCTGGTAGTCCTTGATGAGTTTCTTGGCCTTGTGGTACTTCTTCTCCAGGGCGCCCAGTTCCTTCACCTTCCTCTCCAGCTGGATGTGCTGGCTCTGAGATGCAACCATCATGTCCTGACAAGATATATGTGAGAAAGTTTTACACAAAACATTTTTAGAGAATGAATGAATGAGCCTTGAGAACTCTAAAACTTCTGTATTCTGTTCCTCTCCCAACTCAGATATAAAATAATTAATCTTAAACAAACACATCCGCACCTCTCTCTCTCTCTCTCTCTCACAGGCACACACATACACACACAAGATACATTCCCTCACACAAAAACAAAAGATACCTTTTCTTCTCCCCCCCACCTCCGCACACACACAAGCAGAGCTGTTAAAGTACTTTTAAAAAAGTACTTAAGTACAAATTTAAGTACAATCTAAAAAATGTACTTAGTACAGTAAAAGTACTTTCCTGTAAAATGTACTTGAGTACAAGTACTTTTTAAAAAAGTACTTATGAGTACATTTTGAGTACTTTCTGCTAATATGCTAAAACACTTCAGCG